ATTCAGGAACATCCACTAAGCCACATATTCCCATTCTTGATATAATCTGTTGCTACAAGCAGTTCTCCTTGAATGATCTTCCTGAGGTCCCCTCCCTTAACTCTTAATCTTAGGCCAGTGGTGGGATATGACCAGAATGCCCCAGTACGGGCATACCGGTGCCTGCTTGGAGCATCAGGTACCATTCCGGTATGGTGCTCCAGAGGGCTCACCCGCCTGCCTGCTCTCCTTACCTGTATTTGAGTCGACTGGGGCATTTGCTCATGCGCACGGAGCATATGGTGCCTGCATGACATTCCACCAAGCAGCTGGAGTATCACAGGCAGTGGGTATGCATGTGCATGTGGTGGATGCCTGGCTCCTTTGCAGTATACCAGTTGCAATGGGATCCAGAACCCACCACTGTCTTAGGCCTATCAGTCCCCCAGTCTATTCTTGGCTTCTGGCTTATGTTTGTAACTCAAATATATCCTAAATTTAGCCCATGGCAGAGTCTCAGTAGTGATATATAACAACCAGTGATAAAAATCCCATTAATACTGTGGTCCGTTTAAGACATTTTGCTCTCTTATGTTTCCGAATAACAGAATTGGAAGGTTCAAAACCTTGGAGGTTTTGTAGTCCACCACCTTACACCATTTCAGACAAATTATTGTCCAATCTCTTCTTTAAAAAACCTCCAATGTTGGAGAACCCACAGCTTTGAAAGTTGAAGTACAACTTTTTGATTTATTTAATTGCAATATAAGTTTTGAAGACCATTCAAGCTCAGAATTAGTGGTGTGTATTTAAAAATAGAAAAGAAAACAAGAAAAACACACTTTTTTGGACAAAAAAACACCACCAAGAGGATTCCGCAAACAAACACCCCACTCTAAAGCCTGGGAGGACAGCCCAATTTTTAAATATTTGTTTTTAAAGGAACATCATCAGGATGGGAAATATTATTCTCTTCACGATAGCAAGAATCCTACTTTGGTATCAGTAACATTAGTGGTTTCCAACCAGGGGTGGGTTCCTGCCAGTTGTAACCTCTTCTATAGAAGAAGTTCCACAAATCTATAGTGCCGTTTAGAACCTGTTCCAGCTCCCTCCCCCCGCCCATCCGCACATCATCAAGATGAAGAGCAAGAGGAGGAATTCTGGGAGTTGAAGCCCACAAGTCTTGAAGCTGTCAAGTTTGAACACCCCTGGGGGGGGGTTCTAAAGGGTTAGAGGTGCAAGGGTCTTGTAACGTGACAGCTTTAAGACTTGCACGCTTCAAATGCCAGAGTTTCTGAGCCAACATTTGGTTGCTAAGCAAGAGCATTGTTAAGTGAGTTTTACCACATTTTACAAGTTGACCATGCCCACCCGGTCACATGACTGCCAAGCCACTCCCACCCGGTCACATGGCTAGCAAGCCGCTCCCACCCAGTCACATGGCCAGCAAGCCACTCCCACAAAGCAGGCCACATCTACAGAAGAGGTTCTAAAAATTTTTGAAACCCACCACTGCTTCCCACTTACCTTAGGTCAGCAGGCTAATTTAGGAGACATAGACTGAGCTTCAAGGACACACAGGTGTGTCTTCCAACAATGATGTAGTTCAAGAGATTGGGCCTGGCTACTCACTTTGCCTGATGATATGTCTATTCTTCAGCACTATGTGCAGGACTTTCTAAAACTAAGTGCAATAATGGAGTAAGATTTTTCTGCATCATATATAGTCTTTTTTAATTGAATTCTTGATTGACTCAGCAGATCATTCATCCATATAGCCAGTATGCTGATGAGTCACTGATTTCTGGCTTTATACAAGCCCTGTTACTTAAATTCTTTTTAAATAAGGACTATATAAACAGCCAGAATGAAATTGGAGCTTACTCTAAGCCACTGGCATCACCCTTAAGTCACTAGTGCAAACTCACAACTACGGGGTGATTTTATCAATAAATTTGTTCTGTATAATCTAGTGCAGAGGGATGTAATTTGCTTGTGGACAAGAGCAACTTTCAAAGGCACAGAGGCTGTGGTGGTAATGCAAGATGACAATGCAAGAGATGGTGGCAATTTTGAGTGCTTTTTATGGATAGGAAAAGTAATTTTATTTCAGAGTCCAACAAGTATTCAGGCACCGTTGCATAAATCTGTTGTGGTAGCATGAATATTAAGATATTTTAATATGTCTAAAATCTTGTGATCTCACAAAATCCCATGACCTTTCAGTGATCTCAGCCCAGAGGCCCTATCCAAGCATCCTGAAAGCTAGCAAGACTTAGTATTGTATTATTTCAGCCTTTTAACTTTGATTAATATTTTATTTTATTATTGGGGTTTTGGAGGGTACTATTTAGGGCCATTGTATGCCAACTTCTACTAGAGTTATAACAAATAATTTGTGGAGCTGTTTTATCAAGAAAAAAAGCACTACCAAATTCAGCAGTGTAACAGATTTTAGAAGGATGGAATAAAGTTTTACGAATTTTGTTGAGACAAAGTAATCCAATGCCAGGATCTATTCCTGGCAAATGAGAGAAATAACTAAAGAAATAATTACTAGGACTGTGTTCCTGAGGTCAAAAAATATTTCAGTAGTGTAAGTCTACTAACTTAAGTTCTAAGTTCTGAAATGTTTTGCAAATTAGAATATTATTTCTTCCTTGGATTTCAATTAGTTGTGCTAAGAGTCTTAAGGGGTTTTTATCTGATAGCTGCCTGTTTACCTACCTGTTTTCATTTTTTATATTCATTTTGTTCTCATACATTAAAAAAAACAGCAAAGCGTTTAGCTATGTACCAGGAAGCTGATTCAGAAGATGAAGAAACCTCACCTAAAGTGGGGACATTGTCTCAGCGGGATAGTATTAGCAGCCATCAGAGCATCAAAGCCCCCTACAGGAACCAGAGTGTAAAATCTCATAGACGAACAGGAAGCAGAGTAGAAGCCAAAAGAGCAAGCATTCTTTCAAAGCATACAGCTTTCAGTAGCCCAATGGTAAGTAAGGATGAAAAGTGATATTTTAAAAATAAAAATGATATTTTATTCTAATTGTTCCCCTTAATCTAACTACACCCAATCCAACTTTGTTTTACTAAACCTCTACATCATGACTTTCCAGACCAGAGAAACACATGAGACATGTTACTAGGTCACCAAACCAAGCTTCTGGCTTTGTTGTCTTTGTAGTAATGCAGAAGCTGAGCAACCTAAGTTCCCAGCTATTCACAATACAGCTGGCAATTTACAGTATATTCTATATTGTAGTGCCAGGTATAATGGGGAAGACAAGCCAACAATAAAAGAAGTAACGTGTACTAACTCCTCGCAAGATCCCTGCTCCAGAGATTGTTGGGTGTGAGTCCCTCCTTGTGAAGTTGGACCTAGGGGGTCAAGTGGGCTTGTTTCTGACGTACCTACCTCCCAGCTGCATCACAACAGCCCTGCCTGCTCTCCTAGAGTCAGTAGCCGGACTGGCGGTTGAATTCCCCAGACTTATAGTACTGGGGGATTTCAACCTGCCATCTCGGTCCTGTCCCCCCTCCTATTTAACATCTACATGAAGCCACTGGGT